GATAGATAGATAGATAGATAGATAGATAGATAGATAGATAGATAGATATAGACCTTTATTGTCATTTATTTTACTGTGGGCACTATTGACTACACTTTTGAGAGTACAAAAGTGTACACATACATAACACACATATACACATACTACACACACACACACACACACACACACACACACACAGAGGCAACACTAAAATAAATCTACTTCTTTTACTAACTCCAGGATATTATGACCCCAAACATTAGTAAATCGCTGAAAAAGAATAGCAGAATCTAGTTGATCTAAAAAAAAAAAAAAGAAGTCAACATAACCCCTCTCCAAAAAAAGTAAGGGCAGATCATTTTCTGTATGGTCAATAAAACAGTGAGTCATGTTGATGCAGTCACCAGTAGTTAAGCTCAACGTTTAACAGGATGTGTTACTAGGTAAGGCTAAGTGGAGTAAGTACTTGACTAAATTAGCTTACTTGCAAAAAGTTTAAAAGTGATGAAATAAGACAGATGAAATTCATAACCACAATATGACTTACCTTTTCCACTCTGAGTTGTGTGTTTAGATTACTGTTCTTATACCAAATAGATTTCAGAATGGAAGCAAAAGGAGTGACTCCTATTCCTGCTGCAATACACACACTAATGGGATACTGGAAAACATCAGTGACTGCACCTCCCAAGGGCCCATCCACAGCAAGTCTGCAATGACATCCCAACTAATACTTACAAAACAGTAATGTTCTTTGTGTTGGTATTAGACTACAGGTAGACTACAAATGGTTGATGTACAACTATTTGTTTAGTAACTGTTTGAAGTTATACTGCTGAAAAAAGTGACTGTTGCAGCATCCCCATGGTCATGTGATCAAAATCCATACATTTGGCAACTAGCATGTATTTATGATGTTTGCAGTGTTCTGGGGTCATGTGATTACCTTTTGTGACCTTCTGACAAGTAAACTCAAGGGAGAAGCCATAGTAACCTAACAAAGTCACTAACTTGACCATGGCAATAATTCACTTAACAAATTTGGCAAGAAAGGTAAAAAAATGGGGCAAAATGAATTTGGGCTCGAATTCAATTTTGGTGGTAAGTTGAGGACTACCTGTACAACCACTTTGGGTTTTTATGCTGTGGGTGCAGAGGAGTGTTGTTATATCTGCCATCTGAGATGGCTGTCCCACTCTGTCTAATGTGAAGGACAACTGATATGACAATGGCACTAGGATCCAGGATTAGAGAGGCACAATAGCTGTACCTGCACTCTGTCAATCTCTTCAAGATGTGTCTGAAAAGGAGTTAAAATTGTGCTCATATGCAGACATGTATTTGTGATCAAGAGAACATGACTATAGCTTTTCTTCAGACCTCACATCTGAAAGCATGGAAGTAAGAGAAAAGAAATGCTGAAAAGAGAGCTCTAGTAAACACAATCCATTGTTTCTTCACTAAGCCACATTTTAATTATATTGCTCTTTCACAAGATATAGGTAGCCCTTATTTAGCAGCCACCCATGGCACTAGCAACTCGGTTATTAAGCAAAGTGGCTGCTAAGTACAACTGTGACTATGCTTAAGATCTTACTACAGCTTTCCTATGTGTTACTGACCTGTGAGGGTCATAATTTCGAGGATTGGTCATAAAGTTACTTTTCCATCACTATTGTAATTGTAAACAATGTCTAAACAAGGCAGTCTTTAAATGAGACTTCCTGTATTTTGGAGACTGAATGCCTAATTCAGTGGATTAAAAATAATATCACTGATGTGACATGAATTAACCAGATTTGGACTTAATTCCTTTGGATCCTACCTGAAGCAAATCTGGGATTAAAAGGAAGATTCATCAATTACGACAATATTAGCTAACCTGTCTCTAGGAATTTAGTCAGACATCTCTACAACACTTCTAACCAAAGCTTAGAAAAGGGGATATGTGGACTTGGATTTGGGGCTTTTTCAAGCAACAGGCACCCCTTTCATGCAAGCTAAAAGCAATTTTATGAAAACAGACACATGATACATTGCCGGATAATGCTGAGCCAGCATCCAAAGGAGATATATTTATCCAAATCCCACAAAATTCTTTTTCTCCAAGTTCTCTCCAAACTGTGGGTACAAAGTTCATAACCGAAGAGAAACAGTGTCATGGCAAAATTAGAAATTCTATTGCCATAGAATAATAGGCAATGCAGAACCATATGGCTTTAATTTTGGGACATTGAATATTGGGATAGATATTATTTTCAGATAAAATCTCTCCCTCCCCATTCAACATAATAATGAACTTTGGGGTGAACCTTAGAGAATTTGTGATTTCTGGGACTGAAGGCTTTTTTTATTAACCAGACTTATTTCCTCTTTCTTTCAGAGTGTTGTGAAAGTGCCTGATTCAATAAGAAAATGAGGTAGAAGGGTCAGAAGAAGAAGTTTAGAGATTAATAAAATCTGATCCGCAGGAAGACTTCGGGCATGCAGCCTTAAGCAAATTCTTAATGTTTCCCCTTGAAAATGTGATATTTCAGGATGCTTACTTTGGGCTAAATCAGATTCAGGTAAAATTATACATGAAATCTTTTTTAAGTACTGCCATTTCAATAATCTTCTATTATCTATTTTTCCTGCTAGCAAGTTAGTAAATTTGGCTACATTTGCAGTTAGCATATGAGCTTGGCTTCTTCAGATAATCAAAAATGAATAGCCAAACCAGTTACATCGCAAAGAATTTCCAGACCGTGGCAGCTTCCAGGGTTCCTTATATGTTTCTTCGTGGGCTCCAAAGGTCCTGAAAATGGCTTCCGTCCAGTTCCCAACTGCTCGTATGTGCACACTAAAGAAGTCGTCTTCAGGAGCTGAAGTGAGAGTGAAAGGATGCCACTCCAGCTGGGAGATTGCAGGGCACTGGAGGAAGATGTACTGCCCAGGCTCCATTTTAAAGCCACGCTTCTTCAGCTGAAGCTCTAAGACCCCAGAGGCGTGAGTCACCACCTAAGCAAAATGGCAACTGGCATATTTTAATTATTCTGTTCATTAGCAGGGACTACAGGAAAAGGCAGATAAGATGGCGAAGGGTCATAAGACTGGAAGGACAGTCATTAGGCTACTCCTTTTGATCTCCAGCCTTGTCTACCAAGAACATTTATTCATATTTTGTTTTGTACTTTGTAAACAATAATTATAACACGGGAAGCCCTAATGAATCAGATTACTGAGTGAAAGAAGTAGAAATTATTTGGTTGGTACAAAAGTATTCCTGCCCTTATCTTTATTTGATGGGGCCACCAGTTTGAATTCAGAATTCAGACAATTACTAGAGGGTAAATCCAGAATATTCTAAACATTTTCCACATCTTAGTTATTCTGTTCATTGGCAGGTGCAATAGTGGGCATTTGGAATTTTCCAGGCCAGATTTCATAAGCCAACTCTTTTATCATAGGAAAGCACTACTGCCAGAACCAGTGGATTTCATCTGGTACAGTGTTCCTCAATTTTGGTAACTTTAAGAAGTGTGGACTCACTGGG